CAAATCTGTTTTAATTTGGAGCCACATCAATGTCAAACTATTGTTGAGGGGATCATCCCAACCGATGTTTTAGACCCACATCTCTTGGAGCTGCATTTTACAACGAACTATAATAGGGTTTAAGACCAGGTAAATCGAAAATGTTTGATACTAAAACTGAGCGTTTGTGGGGTTACTTACATCGGGCAAGTTAAAGCGAAACAAGAATATATCATTTGTAGGATTCCAGGACATTTTAGATATGTCTACAGTGAGAGCAAATCTATTCAAACGAAACGAAAAGAGTAACTACTAAACTAAACTTGTTGTATAGTTGGGCCAACCATGAGTATATCATTCAAAGAATGGCTCGAAGTTGTGCGAGCTGACCCATTGAAAACGACACGAAGTTTTGATGTTGTACTCTCAGACTTGAGAACACAATGATGAGGTATGATGTAATGTGGATGCGAAAGAGGACGATTATAGACCGACACATGACCAAGTGCCATATACTCGTTCACTAAATCGACATACATAGATTTTAAAGTGAGATCACGTTCCAGTCTACGGTCGAGCGACAAAAATCTTCGTTTATTAATTTCGAAAGACTCACTTAAACAATTAAGATTTTGTTTAAATGGTAACCAAACTTGAATTATTCGGTGAAATGTTTCTCAAACGCTTGTTCCTTATTAGTAAATGTTTGAGGACCACTTTCATATTCCTCAACTTCCTAAAATTTTCTTCAATGTATTATCAGGAATTGAATTTTTTTTTTTAAGAGAAGTAACACTCAGGCATTGATGCCTATAAATACATAGACCGTGTTACCTTCTTTGGAAAGGGATAGAGTAGAGGCGAAAAGTGGTGAAAGTGAAGGATAGAAGAAAGCTTTTTTTTATTTACAACTCTGCAATTGCACGTTATGTTTATTTTTAGAACAATGTTGCAGCGCCTCTGGTGTTGAGTAGGCGCATTAGTTTAAGCTTTTTATAGCCAATTTGTATTAAGTGAAGATCGTGTGCGATCACTCTAATGCATAAATCAGTGTTGCCACTTGCAATATTTTGAATTTCATTTAAAATTTAATTTATAGTGCATTATTTTTGCATTGCAATAATATTGTAAAATCTTAATGTAGATTTTTCAGTTAACAAATTTTTCATAATTAATACATTATTCATAAGCCGTTAATATATGTATGTATGCTTATGCACTATTATACGTTTTATCTCAGAATCGCTTTATGTCCCATAGTGCAATATCCGTCTATCCATAATTCAGATAGTATCACAGGTCATATTTATGATTAGAATTCGGATAAAATTGGTAATAAACAAATTTTTATTTTATAAAAGGTTTATAAAACAAATTTTGTATTGAAATTGTTCAAGATATTTCTCGCCAAAAAATTTATTGTGTGCATTTTAAATTTTTTAGGAAAATGTTATTTTAAGTAAATTAAAAAATAATTAAAGTAATGAAATATAAAAAAATATTTCGCAAGAGTGAATTTATTAAACATGATTTAAAGCTTGCGGGTAGAAATTAATATGCACTTTTCTTTATAGTTAAAAGTAATTCTATTTTTCAGAGTCAATTGTGTGTAACCATAAATTCTAGAGCACTATGGTTCAGACGACCACTTCTTTTTGGCCAAAACAATAAATGTGTCCAAAAAATATTTTTATTGTATTCTAGATCTTTTTTACTTAAAATTTAAGTGCAATGTCAAGCAAATATGGTAACTTACATAGTTAAGAAATTTAACTTTTTACAGAAATATTAAATATGGAATAATTATTTTAAACCTCTAGATATATTTTAAATTTATCAAAAACATAAATTTGAGTTATTAATTAAATAAAGCAATATTATATGATTATCAAACATTAAATTTTTATTCTCCAATATTTGCAAAATTTTGGAATAATTAAAGAAAATACCCTTTATTACAAAAAGTAAGTTTTCCTAAAAATTAAAAAATTACAAGTTGGAACATAATCCAATTATTTCCGACAAATAGCTTCATAAAGTTTCATGCTGGGAAGATGTCTGACTTTTTTTAAAGCTTATATGAAGTTGGCGATCATAAAGATTTTAGAAGTTATAACAAACATCCAAGTTATACGTACCCCCATATTGTATGACCCAAAACAATGTAGTGGTACGATAACAGTGTGTGACACTAAAAAACACTCGTTACCCGATATAATGCTTTTTAAAGACCTAGAATTTTTAGAATCTTCAATATACCCTAAAAATCGGAAGATATAAAAAAAACGCTTTTTGTTGACTAGACTTGGTCTGTCTAGTTATATCTCAAAATTTTCTTAACCGATTTAATATTTTTTAACTGTTTTGAAAAGAGTTTCCTTTGTCCTTTTTAAAAAGTATACACACTTTTACATTTTTTACGGAAATGTGTAAAACATTTAGATCTAGATAGAATTTTTTTCGTAAAATCAAAAATTTACCAAATCTCTCATTTCTAAAGTAAATTATCAATTTGAATAATAAAGCTTATATTTGTGTTGCATATCTTAAGTTGATATTTTACTTCAGGAAAGAGAGATTTGGTAAATTTTTGATTTTTATTTTTACTAAAATAAAAAAATATTTATAAAACATGTTTTCAAATAAAGTGTGGGTCAAAAATGATCGTCAATTGTAAAAAAATTAAAAATATATATAAAAATTTGTATTCAGATCTAAATATTTTACACATCTCTGTAAAAAATATAAAAGTGTGTATACTTTTTAAAAGGGACACGGGAAACTCTTTTCAAAACCGTTAAGAAAATTTTGAGATATAATTTTTTTGGTCTGTCTATTCAACAAAAAGCGTTTTTTTTTTCCAATATCTTCCGATTTTTAGGGTATATTGAAGATTCTAAAAATGGTACTGTAATCTACTCTACTAGACCTACCAACTTCACTAGGTCTCGCGATGAGTGTATTGATTTTTTGTAATTTTGTCACACCGTGTAATTATTAAATTATTTTCTTTTATCTTTCATTTCCAAGATCATTTTTTTAATTTGTTTTTCGTTTAAGTTGAAAAAACAATCTGAGAAAATCTGTATTTGGAATTACATTTTAATTTTTTTAATGAAAAAATCAACTTTAGTTACTTGTTATTAACGAGTGATTTAATGTTGATGGAAACAAAATACATTTTCTGTAGCTCCGAAGTATGGACTACAACACTGCATTGAAAAATTTGTTAAAATGCGACATCAAAATAACAGTTTGAAAGTGGTCGTTTGAACCATAGTGCAATGTTTAGAAGTCGAATTTTACTGAAGATACAAATGCGCAGCAATAATAAAAATAATTTTAATTTTAATATTTATTACAACTAGAAATAAAAGTAAATTTAATTTTTTTTATTTTTCATAATTATTTGAATTAAACTTTGACTGACGTACCGTTTATTTAACACTACTGTAATAGCTGCGCTTCAGATTACCTACTTGTTGACATATATAGTTAGTAAAGTATCTGCCGGTCCACACTAGGAAACTTTTTTTGGGAAACTTTTGATTTTGCGTGAGATAGAAAGAATATCATTCATCTCTCTCGCGGTACGGAGATTCTCGTACTCGGAAACTTGTTTTGTTTTGTTATTCTTCTCATTCTTACAACAACAAATCAATGCAATTAATACGTAGTTTCTGAAACAAAAGTTTCTATGTGTGGAAATTAAGGAAACTTCAAAAGAGAATTAAGAAAAAGTTTCTCAACAAAAGTTTCCTAGTGTGGACCAGGTCCAGCGTGGCCAATTTAGCGCTTTTGGCGCTAGATTTAGCGCCTTTTAACAATCCAAAAGTCACATTTTTTCCTCTTAGCGATTTTTTGGAAAAAGGCGCTAAATTAGCGCTTTTTTCAAGAAATTTTTAATAACATAAAATTTAATAATAATTTAATAAAAATAATAATAATAATAATAATAATAATAATAATAATAATAATAATAATAATAATAATAATAATAATAATAATAATAATAATAATAATAATAATAATAATAATAATAATAATAATAATAATAATAATAATAATGTTAATAAAATCTTTTTAATAACATAAAATTATTCCAGTTTAACAATAAAGATAAAACAGAATAATTTTAGATAGTACTATGCTCAATAACAGCTTTTTATTGATTAGAAAATTCTATAAAAAATTTACAACAAGGGAATTTTTTCACGTCAAAAAAGGGAAAAGTTGTAAATTAACTTAATTTTAGTTAGGTTAACTTGAATTTTCGTGAAAACTATTGATATTTTAATGCGAATAATACAAAAATAATTTTGATCGCACAAAGTTTGATTCACAAAAATTTAGCATTATTTTTTTATAACTTCACTGTGAAGGAAACAATTCCTTGACAATTACTTCAGTTTTTTTTCACAAAGTTCTGGTTCTTGGTATTTTTGGAAATGAAGAGTTTAATTAAAATTTATTATGGCGAATTTCAAAAAATCTCTTTGACTAGTTATTGAGATCTTGATCGATGATAGCAATTAGTCATTGAATAAGAAAATCGAACATATTTGTATTAACCTTAATTTTTAAAATTTCGTTCCCGAATCAAAATTCCAATTAAGGGGTAATTTTTTTAATAAACAAATTTTAGCTAAATACTATATTTTTTAGTGACTGTGTAAAAATATAATTTTAGCGCTTTTTAGTGCTTTTTTAGTGAATGTACGGCGCGTTTTAGTATAAAATAGTTGACAACACTGACCAGGTCTATCAAGTTAAAGAGATAGTAATGTGTCTGTAGTTATCCAATGACTACTAAGTCTCTTTGTAGGTACTGACGATTGACATCCCTAGGACAAGCCCATGTTAAAATGGTTAGCCACCCACCTGGTTAGTTGACTGGCAGGGGGTAACCCTAAGTGGTAGGTTAAATAGACAGCTCGGGATTATCTTCCCGAACTGCTGGGCTCGGATGACCTTTTAGTTTCAAATACCGATATGTATTAGTTTAGAAAAGGTATACTTACGTAAGTGTCAATAAGCCGTGGTCTTTGCGACCTAATTTTCCTGGTAGTTGTGCAAATGTCCACACATTTTTCAGTCCTTAACTGTTGTACTAATATACACATAGCAACAAATATAGAACTTCGATCTGTGCCAAAACTGTTTATAATGAAAGAAATAATTATTGACATTAATAAATCCACATTTATGTACACAAATATTTACAAACCTGCAATGAACAGTAAGGGGAGATTTGCAACCAACATTTTTTTCTTTGCTGTGGTGACTTAATGCTTGATCAACTAATTCTATTATACCACGACAAACTTCTGGTACTTCTCCTTCTACCGTTGGCCATCCATTATATTGAAATTGTGTGACATGTATAGTGTCATTGATTTTACAATTTGTTACATTAAATTCTCTTCTAGTATAATAAGGGCAACTTTCACTTTGCATGTATTTCACAAGAATGTGTTCGAATTGAATTTCATCATCTGCCCAGTATCGAGGACATCTTCTAGTTCCTTCGCCAATCTAAAAATAAATTAAATTTTTGAAATAAATTTGCTTATTATTTGTACTACAAGTTTTCAGACGATGATTTTAAACGTTATATTCGCACACAAGATCAGATAGATACACCTGTCAAATTTTTTTTTTTTTTTAAGTTGACATACATATGGGCATAAGTGAGTAAAGATAAATACGCCAGATTAAATAAGTTTATATGTAAGCAAAAAATATATCGCATGAAAACGTATTTGAAGGTTTTAGCAGCAAATCTTGTTTTCCTTATAAAGTGGACATTATACAGATCAATATACAATAAAACATTTATTTATTACACAAAATATTTCCGACCACAATTTGCTCACGCAAAAAGTATGTTAATTAAACACTAGGGATGTCATTCGAATAAAAATTGTTCAAGAAATTCAAACGGTTAAAACCGGATATATATATATATATATATATATATATATATATATATATATATATATATATATATATATATATATATATATAAAGTACTGCTCAAAAAAATAGCACACCTTGTGTTAGGTTTTTATTCTTTTTATATTATTACAATAAATTAAGTTAGAAAAACATGATTGATGGCAAATTCAAGAACGAAGTCCAGTTATATAGTTTATGTAATAAGTATCAAAGTTCGGTGTAAGTCGGCAAAATAACGGTAATAGGGCTTTTTATACAAAACTAACCATAAAAAACTGTTTCATAATTATGACGCACCCTTTAAAACATGTTGAAACAATATTGAAAAATGTTAATTAATTTTGAAAAATTGCAACTAATTATTATGAAAGGACAGTTGTCTATGCTTCTAAATGTAATTTAATTTGAAGTGACAAATATTAAGCAGTTGTCTTTGGTTATTTTTGCTGAAATGTGTCTTGTAGTACTATTAATTTACTTTATGTCAAAATTATGCACTTTATTGGTCAATAGTCCAATTTTTTTTAGGATTATATCTATTAACATTGGAGATAACCTTTTCAAATGGATTTTAAAATTTTTTCCCCAGGGAAAAAACAATCTGACCTTCTAATATGGGTCACTTTTTGGCAGATTTAAGATTGTGATGGTACAAATTGCAATAATTTGATCAAATTTCACTATAAAACCTTAAAAAACTTGCTTCTAATGTTTAATCTTAATCTATGGAATAATCACACATCATTATTGGGAGAATCCATGTGAAAGCGGACAGCAGTCGGATTTACCATCTCCGATTTTAATGAAACTTACCACACATATAAAATATATAATATGTTCCACATATCATTGACTTTTTGAATGGAATCTCATTCAAATGTAAAAATGTCGCGATTTGAAAATTGAAAAATATGTTAAAATTTCCTAAAAGTACATACATATAATTGCCCATAACTCTGAAACTACTTAAAGTCCAACATAATTTTTGATTTCATATCAAAGCCAAAGATATTGTCTTTAAAATCGCATAAACAGAATATTTCACTTCCAAAAGGTTAAAGGTCAATTTTCATGGTGTATAATTCAATGTCAAATAGGTCAGACAGCCCCGTGTTAAACATTATAAAAATACATGGTATGAGGATACCTAAACTCTCTTCTATATTCTAGTGAAAACTTTTCGATGGAGACTCGTGTAGTTCAGGAGTTATTAACCAAAACGTAATTTAAAACCAGTTTTTTATACAAAATTGTATGAAAAATTAAACAAACAGAAAAAATACACATTAGAATCAATTTCAATTTATGTGGTAAATTACATTGTATCTCATAAACCACTGGTCCGATTTAAATGAAATGTGCAAGAAAATTATGAAGGACGATCAGGCCTTACTGGAGGTATCCTTTGTCATCACAATATTAAAATAAAAGGTGGAAAACAGCGTTTAAGAAGTTAACTCTTCGACTTCAAAAATTATTTTAAAGCTTCTATCATCTATAAATGAGATCAAATTTAACTGATCATAAACTTTTCGTAATCTATACAATACAGTAAAGCTAGATCCATATTGCAATACTAATTAAATTTAAGGGTTTAAGAGATATAATTTAAATAAAGTAGTGGACAAAAGTTAAACAATTAAACTAAAATATTTTTTCAATTTTACTTATAACTTAGTACTACCATTAAGTTTTATAATACCCGTATTGTCTACTATAAGAAAAATTCAACTTCAGCCAAATCGGTCCTTATTTGCAGATTTGTGAAGCTTTAATATTTTTTTTATAGTCGAAGTACTCTCATTTAACACCACATACCTCACCTTGTATTTTAACAGGGCGGTAACAAGGTAAATTTTCAGTAAGGTTAAATCGTTCTTAATAATTTTCTTGTACATTTTATTTAAATTGGTCCTGCAGTTTAAGAGATACATAGCATTTTCCATATAAGTTGAATTGATTCCACTTTGTATTTTTTTCTGTTTGTTTAATTTTTCATAGGATTTTGTATAAAAAAACTTGCTTTAAATTACGTTTTGGTTAATAACTCCTGAACTACACGAGTCTCCATCGAAAAATTTCACTAAAATATAGAAGAGAGTATAGGTATCCTCATACCATGTCCTATTATAATTTTGAATATGGGGCTGTCTGATATATTTGGCATCGAACAATACACTATAAAAATTGACCCTTAACCTTTTGGAAGTAAAATATTTTATTTGCACGATTTTAAAGACAATATCTTTGGCTTTATAAGGAAATCAAAAATTATCCTGTACTTAAAGGAATTTCAAAGTTATGGGCAATTATATGTATATACTTTTAGACAATTTTAACATATTTTTAAGTTTTCAAAGCGCGATATTTTTGGTCTGGAATGGGATTACGATCAAAAAGTCATTGATTTAAAGAACACTTTCAAACCATAATATGTGTGGGAAATTTCATTAAAATCGGAAATGGTAAATCCGAAAATTGCTGTTTTCTGTCCGTTTTGATATGGATTCACCCTATTGTGATCTGAATATGCTTAATTCTACACAAGTTAAACCTCACATGTAATATAAAAAAATTAAGAACTAATCCGCAAATATCTAATATCGTATTACATCGATTTGATAATAAATTTGCATATTATTTAAATAAAAATAATAGTTTTCGTTCGAATTGACCTCTATTTTCCATTTTATGAAATTAAAATTTCCATTTACTCAAAATAAAATTTCCATTTATAAGAATTTTAAAAACATTTTTTGGTGGTGTTTCAGTTAGCACATGTGCATGTTTTGTGCATGTCTTAGCATCCTTTTTCTTGGCCTATTATCTTTTTTTAAGGATATGAAAATTCTAGAGTCACTAAATTTTAACCTTTTGGAGAAAATAAGATTACTTTTTTGGGCCTATTTAAACATAGGCCTAGTTGAAATATTAAAAACGCTCAATGCTATCGCGCGAAATTCAGAAATTTTGGATCTATCAAGGAAATATTCTCATATAACATTGACCAAATTGTTATCAAATGTTTATAAATTATATTATGATTGATTAATTAACGATTCATGTCTTCAGAATTTAAAATCGCTGCATAAATTGATTGTAAAATGCAAAAAAATTAATTTGTTAAAAAAAAACCCAAAATGTTCGCTACACTTAGGCAACTCAATACCAACTCAATACCAACTATGACTAAATGGGTCTTAAAATATAGGGGCAGAAGTATTTTATCATCCCGAGATCCAATATTGATAAACATTTCATTTAAGAATATTTTATTGCCAATTTGATTATAAATGCGCTATAATTTTAAATAAATAATTAAGGACTTGTTTCCTAAAATATTTTCTAGCGCAGTTATTTTGCTATTTTAAAATAAATTTCAATATTGTTTTAATAAAGTGGACTATAATTTAAAGTGGATTTAATTTACCGCAAAAAAAATTATTATCTTAAGATAGGATAAAGTAAGGGCCAATCAAAAGGAATGGTCTTAAGATATTGTCGATTAATGTGCTTGACGTGATGTGACAAAAAATATACTTTTCGGTGGAAATGCCCATATATATATAAAGCACTGCTCAAAAATATAGCGCATTTTCTGTTTATTACATTCTCTTTTTGTACCCTTAACAAACTTAAGGTAATAATTTTTTTTCGGTAAATTAAAGCATATAGTCAGTCCACTTTATTAAAACAATATTGAAATTTATTTTAAAATAGCAAAATAACTACGCTAAAAAATATTTTACGAAACAAGTCCTTAATTATTGATTCAAAATTATAGCGCATTTATAATCAAATTGGCAATAAAATATTCTTAAATGAAATGTTTATCAATATTGGATTTCGGGATGATAAAATACTTCTGCCCCTAAATTTTAAGACCCATTAAGTCATAGTTGGTATTGAGTTGGTATTGAGTTGCCTAAGTGTAGCGAACATTTTGGGTTTTTTTTAACAAATTAATTTTTTAGCATTTTACAATTTATGCAGCGATTTTAAATTCAGAAGACATGAATCGTTAACTAATCAATCATAATATAATTTATAAACATTTGATAACAATTTGGTCAATGTTATATGAAAATATTTCGTTGATAGATCCAAAATTTCTGAATTTCGCGCGATAGTATTGAGCGTTTTTAATATTTCAACTAGGCTTATGTTTAAATAGGCCCAAAAAAGTGATCTTATTTTCTCTAAAAGGTTAACATTTAGTGACTCTAGTATTTTCATATCCTTAAAAAAAGATAATAGGCCAAGAAAAAGGATGCTAAGACATGCACAAAACATGCACATGTGCTAACTGAAACACCACCAAAAAATGTTTTTAAAATTCTTATAAATGGAAATTTTATTTTGAATAAATGGAAATTTTAATTTCAAAAAATGGAAAATAGAGGTCAATTCGAACGAAAACTATTCTTTTTATTTAATTAATATGCAAATTTATTATCAAATCGATGTAATACGATATTAGATATTTGCGGATTAGTTCTTAGTTTTTTTATATTACATGTGAGGTTTAACTTGTGTAGAATTAAGCATATTCAGATCACAATAATGATGTGTGATTA